CGTAGGAGAAGTTTCTTTGAAAATGGGAAAGAATGGTACTGCCTTACATCAAGTTATTTGGGTTATAGTATCATTGTCTTTTTTATAATAGGTACATATTTTTAAGAACTCTGTGCACAATTAATTTAATTACTTTCGGGCCCCTTAAGAATCTATATATTTTTAATAATTAACCAATTTCTTTAAGTTTTATTTAAAGAAATATCTCAAGAAAAATCCATTTCAAAAATATCTTTCTTTAACGTTTTTAACTTCTTCATTAACTAACATTCGAGGCTTAGGTCAAGTTCTTACTACAATATTTATTATTTTTCTCTATGCATAGACAAATAGCAAAATGGTAGAGTGCAGGCCATAAATACGGCAAGGCAGAGTGCTCAAGTGCCATGTACAAGCCATTAGGGAAGACATGAAAGATGCTGGCGCTGCAATCTGTTTTCCTTTGGTTAATGTCTTCGATTTCGACTCGGATTTTATGTGTGAGAAATCCAGCGGAATGGCAGACTGTCTGTCTGAAACGCATTTTCAGTCATTCCGATCGTGTTTTATGTGCAGCCTGTCCAGATAAACCAAGGCAACAGAAGCCAATGAATTGCCAATGTGGGAGTTAACTCAAGATTCAACTGACGTTCCAAACAGTTTCGCCAAAAAAGAGCCATCTCCAAAAACCTCGGAAAAGAATTGAATGAGAAGTGGAAGCTTTAAAGCTCTTTGGGATGGCAGAATAACTTTGAATATCTATAAAATTTGCTTAAGTTGTTGCAACATTTTTTTAGACTTTAAACAGATAATGAAAGGTTATTTTCTAAATTCATTCTTTTCTTAAATTACGACTAACTATGATTAATTTCATTTACTTAAGTCTTAAGACCTAATATTTCTGTGTGCGAGAAAAACATAATTTAAAATATAACCCAATATTGTATTGTGTTAAAAATTATTTTAAAAAAAACATTTTTAACACGAAGAAGATTTTACATGGCAAATTTGACATTCATTTTACTTTACATTTTAAAGCCGTTCAAAAACTGATCGCGTAAAAAGTGGTCTTAAAAAGCTCAACAACTTAGCTTTTTCAAGCAGTGCAGCCGTTAAATTCTGTTTTTGATTTTTAACATTTTGATACTTACGTCTTGTATCTATAAAACATACTTATATATTTTTGGCAGTGACCGATAACTGAAATGATTCAGCATTTTTTATATCCGTTTTGGTTATTACTTATAGAAATTTATAATCAAAAACTTGGGCTAACGTTACAAATAAATTATTTTTGAAAAAAAAGTCTTTTAATTGTGGAACAAATGTCGGCAGGCGGTTTTTTGACTTCCACATCCTCGACTTTTCTTGACGAATCATTTTACTTCTTCTTCTTTATATATTAAAATATAATAAAACATCTTTATTTCTAAAAAAGTTTTCCTGTTGGTTGGTTAAGGCTTCAGCTTTTCCATTTCATAGAAATTCCCATGATTTGTTGATTATGATTAATATTTCGAACAAGCTCTCAAAATTCTGGAAACGTTCTCCCTTGGGGAAATATTTCCAGTTTTGACCTCCTAGAATTTTCGTGACGACGCATTTAGCTTTTCCATGCATTTATGTATTGGAAAATTACCAGCTGTTTTCGCGAGTGGCGCCTTCGATAATCAACTGAAATCCAATCCGCTTTGTGTGGCCCAGCAAAATCCGAGAACAAAATAAAATCAACAAAACCAAGCCGCCAACTCGACTCGCAATAATCGCTCAATGAGTCCCCATGAAATCGCACACTCATCAAAAAGTCAGAGAAACGCCTTTTTATTCAAGTATACATTTATAATTTATTAACTAATAAATAACGCAGTCGAAAATAACCAGGCCAGATGGGGGATCCAAAATTAAACCAGCTAGATGGGAGGAGAAAGGTGGGATTTATTATTATTGATTGGGGGATGTGATGGGATGAGATGAGATGGGATGTTGGGGAACATGCTTATCAGGCGGTTGCCTCCTACTCCGCCTTCTCCGATTCCCAAAACTGTAATCGATTCCGTTTTCGATGATTTTTCGCCTTGGTACACCTAACCTCTTATAGGCTATGTCTGATCGGTTTTCGAATGCACAGACAAAGCCTAGTAGAGGCTAGATTTAAAAGGAAACTCTCCATTTAGAATGGTGTGATACTGGTATGTGGGTAATGCCAGTTTATACTCATTTTTTCCTTATTATTTCTTCCGAATTTCCTATAATAAAACTAAAGTAGTCGAAGCCGCTTTCTTTGCATTGCTTGAAATCTGGATTTTTTCGTTTGCCGTCTTAATTTATTAACTTGTTGCCGCCGTTTCGCATTTCGTGTTTTGCGTACAGTTCATGTTTGATCTGTGGCTCGTTTTCGTATTTTTCTTTAATATAAAACTGCCACGTCTTTCACTCGCGACTTTCACTTTTGTGGGGCTCGTCAAGAGCCAAATTAATTGCAAGCCAGTCGAAAATTTATCAGCGTGCGATTGTCGAGCGCCCAAATGGAACGAACGCCGCCTCGCAACTGATTGTGCGGTGAGTGGTATACATATTTCAAGATTCGTAGAGTAGAGTACGGCTCTTTTCTGCTAGAGAGCTCTACGAGGAGCACGCCCTCGCCTCGAGGGCAACAACAAACATAAATGTTTGTGCATTTAAAGTTCAAGTTCAAAGTGGCGAGAATGCGAATTAGAATTCGTGCTCGGGCGCTACGGCTCTCTAAAAAAAGAGCGAAGATTTGAGTGGGAAGAATTGAGAGCGGAGAACGAAGAGCGTAGCGTGTGGCCAAGTGCACGTACACCTCGAAACACAAGAGATCGCTATCTGCACGGGGAGAAAATCTAATAACTATTAGTTGGGATTCTATGAGAGTAAACCTTTCTTATCGAGTGCCTAAACATAATCAAAAGAGTATATAAAACCACCGAAAAGAAATTCCCTTTTCCTAATGAACAGTAAAATGTTGAGGTACTTTTAAAATACTTAATCAACTGAGTTCTATATTCAGCACTTTTTTATCCATTAACCCCACTTCTAACCTTATCATGTTTAACACTTAACATACGTAATAGGTATACGTAATACAGGCTATCTTTTGAGGCTTCAAATTGCAAGTATTAGATAAAAGAATCTATATATAAGAATAGAAGAAAGTAAAGTATTTTACGAAAAATAAGTTTTTAAAAATTTGTATTTAACTTCGGTCATCTTAGCATCCCAAAAAATTCTGTAAAACCTACAAAATCAAGCGATCTTATAATTGTAGAGATCATCTAAATTTCGGATTTTCTTCATCCATTGCAAAATAAATAGATCGCGTTAGTTTAATAGTTTTTACGGTGTAGTGCTTTCTATTTTTGACCGGCTTTTTGCTCTCTTTCTCTTCAATTCTCACTCTTCGGGTCTCTGAATAGACAAAACTAGCGCTAGTTTCTCCCCTCTCTTTTTGTTGTGTTTGTAGTTTGGGGGGCAAAAAGTAATCCATGTCAGTAGAACACTTTCGATTTTCTTTTTTTTCGCTTTTTGCGGGCGCGTCGCGTTCCTGTTTCTTTTTCTTTTATTTTGTGTGCTTTTTTTCTGCGCTAATTGTTTGATACTATTTTTGATCGTGCTGTTGTGTGGATTTTAATTGCAAAACTTTCACTTTGCGGAGTCAGAATTGTGAATTTCACTAGAACTTTGGGTTTTTAGCTTTATTTTTTGGATGGGTCCTTGGGGTTTTTTTCAGCTGCTGCCACCGATCTCGACACTTGCACAGTTTTGGTTTTAATAAACCCGAGTACGAAGTGATTTTATGCTTTTATACTCTCGGCAGCGACGCCGGCAGCGCAGTCGGCGTCAATGGCGGCCATTGCGTGCATATATATGTATGTATATATTTATACATATATATATATATGTATATATGTATGTGCGTGCGTGAGTGTGTGTGTGCGATCGCTTCATTTTATTATTTTGTTTGACTTTTTTATATGCGAGAAAAGTACGAAAAGTAAAGCGAACGGAACGAACGGCGGCGGAATGAGCATTTTGCATCGCCCGATCGCCGCTTTATATATTTGCCTGATTCCGCGCCGCACACCAACACACTCTCGCTTAACCGCGAATATGAGTTACTTTGGGCCTGCCCATGTGAGCATCGTTCTTTTCGGGGCTCCACTTAAACGCACACTTGCGCACTCTTTGTTCTCCTTTTTGGCGACCCACTCACACACACACGGCCGCCTTTGGGGCTCTTCCTGCAGACTGCACCGCCCACTCCATCCCCCTCCCCTCACACACACACACACGAGCAGATCGCCTCCATCCACAGTGGCGGTCAAGATCACAGCACTCTCCTTCGAAACTACAGATCCTTAAAAAAATTTAAGTTTGTTTTTAAAAATATATTTAATTTTATAAGAATATTTTAATTTATATATTCTAGGATCGCTTAAAGTATTTTAAAATGTGAGAAAAACATTTTAGAATTAAATATTTCCACATTGTTGAACTATACACAGTGTGAATTGCATACTAGCTTTTCCGTAATACTCTTCTTCTAAACACCACCTTCAATATACTAATTTTCTTAATCTCAACTGTACAAAATAATTTGGATTCCTAAAATTTATTAAGATAAAAAAAAATTATTAGTTGGCCGAAGGACTTTAACTTCCAGAGCCTTTTCCTCTACAAATATTAATTTTAGTATTATATACTAACTTTAATTAGTTAAATATGTAAATTATAAATAAAAATTCATTTATATGTACATATATATTAAAATTACTGATAAGGAAGAAATAAAGATAGACATTAAAGGATCTTAATTTTAATTTTCAAAGTAAAATTAAAGAAATAAAATCATTTTTTCAAGCCAATGTTCCTAAATTTAAATTTAAATAGTGTGTTGTTTTAGTGACAGAGTTTCTTAAATACAGGGCACTTTTAAATTTATGGATAAAGACATTCGGTTGGAACAGATTTATCTGTAAGTTAAAAAGGTATAAGCGAACTTTCTTTCTGGAAAGCTGCTAGAACTTCGCCCACTGCTGTAAGCCCCCAGACGCGTCGCTGCCGCTGTCTCCTTCTCTCCAGGCCGAGTTTTTGCCGTTGGGTGTTGTCTGCCTTGTTGTTTCGCATATTTTTCGGATTGCATTTCTTGCTGGCTACTTTCCTCTCTCCGAGGGCGCAAATTAAGTTCGAGTCATTAAACCGGTCAACTAAAATAACGTGGCATCCAAAACTCGAGTTCAGTTCGCAGGGGAGTAAACAACAACAGGAGAACGTCTTGATCACTTGTGGTCACTTAAACGTTTTGTGCAGGGGTCCGAAGTTATTGACCGACTTTAGTGTAATCCGACCACCGATCACCACTGACATTCAATGCTCTCCGAGGGAATATGGCACCATCTGATAAATGCACCAGATGAGCGGAAAACATAGCTGTTCACACTTGAGGGGATGGGTTTTTTCAATAATGAAAGAATTCCAATCATCATTTGCTAGTTCATTATGGAAGGATACATTTTAAACTGTGAAATTATGGTAAGGGAATTTTTTTAAAGAATATCCCACTCCGTATCATCAGTAAACCTTTACGAGCTGTAACTTAACAAGTTAATTATGTCACCAGACATAAACGTATGTAATTTAAGCCACAAATCCCAAGATTGTACAGCTGCAATTAATCAGTTGATTGATTCTATATATACCATCGATATTATGACAGTGCTCCCACTCACCCTACTTAAATGCAAGTATTGTCAAGTCCCGAAAAAGAAAGAATTGATAAATTAACTTGAACTCCCCATACACGCGCAGCCGTTAATTATACGCCATGTATATCAGTCGACGTTCCTGTTTTTTCGCCTTTTGTTGGTTGTCGAGTGCTTTTCGTGTCGTATTTGCTATATTCTTATTCTGGCGAATGCAATGAACTCGGGTTGTTTATTTAAAAATAAAAATACAATTTGCAAAAAATAAAAAAAACGCCGAACGAAAATCGAATTAACAAACAAAAGGAATTCTTTGTTTATGGCATTGCCAACCTGTGCTCATGTTCAGGGGTGGATAAGAAATACTTTTTGAGCAGGGGATCGTATAATATCATTTAAACCAACTCTATTTTGATATGAACTTGGTGAAAAGTGAGGTTTAATTGACTATAAGGGGCCCTGTAATTTTTCAAACAGACTTAAAGTTTTAATGATGCTAAAGAATTCGCGTTCTGACAACCCCTTCAATTCCGACTCTGACTCGAGCTAAACCAACTCAATTTAGATCTCATCTTGGTGAAAAGTTAGATTTATTAATAAGAGGACCTCTAATTTCTCAATCAGACTCAACTTTTTATTGATGCTAAAGAATTCGCGTTCCGACAACCCCTTTAAATTCCGCCTCTGACCTTCTGAGAGTGTGAGTGCGACTCTCGACTGCTATCTCTGTTGCACACGCCCACTAAGTTGCTCTCCAATTGGGGCGCAAATTGCAATTTCGGGTGGTGATTGTAGAGAGTTGAGTTCATTGGCTTCGTGTAGATTTTATTTATCAGTTGAAATATTTTGCTAACAAATTGCAGTCAATGACATTAACCACACAACAACAAGCGCACACTCATGCAGGGCGGATGTGGCACTACCTCTGTCTCTTTCCTTTGCGTGGGGGGTGGGGGGAGGGGGGCTGGCAAGGAGGGCGAAGGAGGAGCAACTGAGATGGCGAACAGGTCACGCAAGCGTACAACAGTTTATTCATCTCGCATCTCGCCGAAATGCGCAGCAGCGGAATCGACAAAGTTCCCGAAGCCCCATCGATAAAGTGGAGATAGAAGACTGTCTTCTGCACACTTGTGCAAAGCTTCGGGAGCAAGAACAAGAATAAGAAGATCAAAAACAAGGGCACTCGGAGAAAAGCGTTTGTCCTAAAGATCATAAATACTGTATCTAAAACTGATTTATTATAAAAAGTTAATACTTTCTTCCTTGTAATATAGAGTTATGTTAAGTTTTGCATGTCTTTTTTTAGATATAACGTACCTACTATATTTGAATGTTTGTATTTTTTAATACTACAGTATAAATGATACTATATAACTATAATAATACTATATTCTTAAACGATATTATATTGTAGTATATAATATTTTATAATATGGATATATTATCGTTTATTTTTTAAAGCTTTATCATTAAACTAATGCAGAAAGGACTTAAGGAAGATAATCAAGGTTCGAATTCATTTTAAGGTTATGCAAAAGTGATACATACTTTACAAAACTAAAGATTTTTTAAGATCCGTTTAAATATTAAATATTGCCAATATATCTATTGATGGTGTAAGATAATTTTTCTTTTTGTGCAGCAAGCTTTACTTTTTTCGGGTTTCTGTTTGTCCAGAAAAAGATGACGAAGGGGAGTATGGGGCTGCGGGGTAGTGGGAGCGGTACGACTGCAAAATTGTTTAATTATAAAATGTAAAAAACGAAGCAGGCAGAGAGAGAGCGAGAGAGGGAGAGAAGATAGAGTGGGGGGGAGATACGGAGAGTGAGCGAGAGACAGAGATAAAGTTTTTGTTGAAGGACACACACGGTCTTTAAAAGTGAGTAATGCACTGGAGGTTGTTGACTCTCTGGCCATCTCGCTCGCTCTGCCTGTTGCCATCGTCGCCTTCGCCTTGTGTATTTTTTTATTTTTATTATTATTTTTTTTTTTCTTACTTATTTTGCACTGTCCACTGGGCCTGTTGTTGTTGTTTTTGTTTACACTGCTGCTGCCGATATTGTATTCTTTTTATCTGTGTGTGTGTGTGTGAAGAATCTTTTGTTGTGCGTTTTTATTTTTCGGCATTGCTTGTATTATTGTGTGTGTGTGTTGTGCAAAGTCAAAGTGATTAAACTTTATGCGCAATTTATTTTGCATTCACCACATCGGCAACAACAAAAACAGCAGCAGCTTAGCCGAAAAAACAGGCACGAAATCATTGTTTAATGCTAATTTAACACACGTCAAATGTGGTATCCAAAAAGCTGGCTGAAAAAATCGCGTTTACAGGTTCGGGTTTTACAGTCGCCAGGTGAGATAAGCGGTGTGATAACCGTACACCGCGGCGAAAATGGCCCCTTTAGCGCTAATTTCTCCCATAAAAATGCCAGCTTTAATTTGCGAAATAAATTCACTAAAGGGGGTACAAAGTTCTGAGGAAAGAATGTACAAGGAAGGCTTTAAAAACAAAGTGTTTCGATGGGGGCATCGAATCTTGTGAAATTTTTGAATAAAAGTTTTTCCTAAGACGTTAGGAACAATATTTATATTTAAACTTTTCTAAATTTAAAACTATTTTACTATCCTCAAATACATTTTGAAAATGAGAGTGGCAAAAAAAAACACTTGTTTTTGAAATCATTTTAAAATGTGTCTAAATGTATGCTTTAATATATTTTAAATCCAATATAAGACGTTCTTTCTTTTACTGCACACTTTTAGACACCTTTATATGTAAGGGATCATATAACCTTTAGGATTTACGAGTCGTGCATCCAATATTTTATATTTTTTTCTAACAATGTACAACAAAAAACTAAAATCTTTAAGCGTTTAAATAAGAGTTATTTGGGATTTTTATTTTAAAAGCCCTACTGGGTATTTGATATTTCAGATCAGATCATTAAGAGCGTTATTTTTGACGCTTAAAGTCATAGTTCTCAGTAGGCCTTTTAAACTATAATTCAAAAATAACTCAAATTGACGCTTCCACATTTAAACGTTCCCTTTTGTAAGACGTCAGGTTTATAAAAATTTTCAAGTTATAAGGAAGTAATTCGAATTTTTTCTCTGTACCAACTGTTTTACTTGCCATTTCGATTTACTAAAATCGGGAAATAGAAATTGCAACAAAGTAGCCACGATTGCCTTTCGAAATGACAAACGGCATTGGAATTTCTGCATATTTTCCGGTCTGATTGACTCGGCGACTGTACGAATGTCGCACGACAAGACATACTGAACATGTGCCTGAATGCGGGTGCTAAACACTCCCCATCCTTCCAGTCCACAACCGACTCAGAACTTAATTTCACCCTTTTGTTTGTCCGCATCTTTTTTCGAGAATTGGGGAACTGCAGTTGTGGCAGCAGCACAACATGCGGTTAAATGTTGACACCCAGCAGACGCCACAGTCAACCGCAAAAAACGCAAGCCTCGGGAACTCGGGTCCTGACCGGAGGAAAAAACCTAATGAGTGGGATGATCCATTGGGGTGGACCTTTTTTGAGAAGATTTTTATACGGGAGTGTATTATTTCTTCTCTTAATAAGCATACAATTTTAAAAATGATCATTATATTATAATAATATTATAATATATCTTATATCATATTATTACCTAGAGCTGAACAGCTGTTATATTTATTGATATTGCTAAAATTCTACATTAATTGGTATACCGAATACATATGAAATATAAATATTATATGACATTGAACATTGTTATTATTATTATTATTATGATTATGTATAATTTCTATAAATGTTTCAAAAAGTATGCAATACTATATTTTATTACCTTACATGTTCACTTGGAAAAAAAACTTTTTAAAGCATACCTTTCTACAAATTTTTAAAAGATTCCAATTCTCTAAAACTTTAATTTTTTTTATTTTTTTTATAGGAAAATAGACAAAACTTGTCAATTAATTTCTACATAATAAAAAAATTATTTACTTAAAAAAAATACTTCAAAAATTGTATCAAATATTTATAATTTTTAATATATTTATGTGCCTGATATTTTAAGCCATCAGATAAATGTGCTAGGCTTCAGAAAATATTTTTCTTATATTTTATTAATTTTCCCCCGAAGCATTCCATCCCAATCGCGTGCAGGCGACCTCCAGATGCGCACAATATGGTGCTCCTTCTGGATGACGCCGCCGGCTTCATGGCCACAGTTGCAGTGGCTGCAGTTTTTATTATTATTTTTTTTGCCAGCTCTTGCTGATCTTGCTGCTTTTTGTTGCTCTGCTGTTAATCGTCTTGACGGCGCAGTCACATTGTGCGTGCTGCTCCCAAGGCCAGTGCAATATTTTACACGAGTGACATCGCCGGCGAACTTCCGTCAGTGTTGCCGCTGCTGCTGCTCTCCATATAGCATACACATATACCCCGATTCCCATTCCCATTCCGATCCCGATCCAACCTCCCCATTGTGCGTCATTGCTGGTAGTGCATTTCATGGCTGTTTATATCGCTACTCCCCCCATGAACAAAAAAAAAAACAAAACAAAACACCCCCACACGTACGCACTCCCGATCGTTTAACACCCACTGTAAGTGGAATTGCAAGCCAGGCAAGTTCTTCGAATATCCACACCGCCAGAAAATCATATAGTATCGGCAATAACTTGATTAATAACATCCATGCAGGAAGAAAATTATATACAGCGCATCGAAATTGATTAATGGTACTTTTCAGCCCAGTTGGTGTGGGCTGCCCGTCATGTCGTATACGCAATTTTCGTGGTCTATAAAATTATTGAAGGATCATTTCATTGTTTAAAACACTATGTGATCTTAATAGTTTTATTTTTAAACTACCATTCATGACATTCAAATTTCTTAACCTGTTTGAACATCAGTAATCTTTGGCTGAATCAAAGATAGTTGTTTTTCGAAATTTTAAACATGAGGTGATACATTCCTTATCTGTGGGCTTATCATTATCATAGTTTTTATTACATTATAAGGTTTGGCAATAGCTTTGTATGTTTATCTATTATGGAACCACATTATGAAAGTATCTTCTTTTTCTTAAAAACCCATAGAAATACTGCTGAAAGATCAATTTAATAATTTTGATTTGTATTTCTAAAATATATTAATTGGACTTTCTTTTGAATCTTATACGGTTGCCAATTTTAATTCTTATACCCTTTAATTTCAGTGTTTAATCAATCAGGTAGCAATCGACTTATATTCAGTTTGAGTCATTCTACAATCAAACTCCCTACGATTTTTGTCGTTTTTTCGTTTCTCCCTTTTCATTTTATAGAAAATTCCATGTCAGTTTTACTACACACTGCATTATTATTATTATTACTTTGTGTTATTAATTTGGTTTGGATTCTTAACTTTAAAATTGATTAAATCTTCTGACAATGCCGCTTAAAAGTGAATCCTTGTTGGTTTAGTAAGTAATGGTCGATCCCCTACTCCACCCAATCATCATTATCCACCGCATCCATGTAGCTTCTTTGGCGTGGCCACCATGGGTCTTGTGATGAGCATGATCTGCGTAGTGGTTCCCCAAGTGCGTCTCTATCTGGCGAAGATTTACAAGGTCTATGCGGATTACACGCCCATTATTTATCCAAGTGATGATCAATTGACACCCGTTTCCAAGAGCCGACTTAATCTGGTGGGCAAAAAGACCCTAGTTCTGGACATGGATGAGACCCTGATGACATCGTGGATGAAGAAACATGGCAAGGAGCCGAAGAATCGGCCAACTATTCCACATGACTTTAAGTTCTACTTGCCGGAATATGGGGCCACCGTCTTTGTCTACAAGCGACCCTATTTGGATCACTTTCTGGACCGCGTGTCCAAGTGGTACGACCTGACTGTTTTTACTGCTGGAGTCGAGGCCTATGCCTCACCGATTCTGGATTTTTTGGACAGGGGACGTGGCATTCTGACGAAGCGCCTGTACCGCCACGACTGCATCGATGTTTTTGGTCTTAGAGCCAAGTACGTAACGCTGGCCTCCCCAGATCTGTCCAATGTCCTACTTTTGGATAACTCAAGCACCGAATGCAGTTTCAATGCTGGAAACTCCATTCACATCAAGTCCTATCAAATTGGCAGTCGTGATGAGGCCCTCATCGATTTGCTACCTTTTCTGGATGCCCTGCGCTTTACCAAAGATGTACGATCGGTCCTACAAAGATGCACCCGATTCGAGGGTCTCACCACATTTCTAGAAAGTGTCACTCAGTGAGATCCCAAACAATTTATTCAAGTTTTATTTTTGGTTTATTTGTGTTTGTGTTTTGTTAAATTTTAAAGCATTGAATCAGCGACTTATCAATTTGGACATTCATCGGAGGTCATTTTGTGCTCGAGACATTTTGATTTTAAATTATTGAAAGTCATCATCGAAATGTAGCATTTTTAAAGCGAAATTTTCTTAAATTTTGTGGGGGTAATTGGAATTTGAAGGCATATAAAGGCATTTTTGTTTTGCAATCCTGGCAATAACAAACATAAATACCCAATCAAAAATATTCTAAAAAAAATGGGTTTTTCACAAGAAATTATTAATTTAGTTTTAAAAGCATTTGATAAACCCAGAGTGATTCATAAGCTTCACAATTTACTCACTTCAGGGAAAATATTTTAATTTTTTTTAATGTAAGTTTGGACTTAGGACTTAGGACTTTGGACTCCTTTTCTTTAATGGTTATCCTGCTTGGTCTATATATACTCCTCAGCCGTAACATCTTTAACCATCTCCGGTTTAGTCATACAAGGGCGTGCTTAGTCATATCCCATAAGTGGAAGGCCAAGTGATTCACTAAGTAAACGACTTCGGCCAAGGCTGCAGCGATATCAGGCCACAACTCATATTAATCAGAGGCTAGTACAATATGCTCCACTTTATCGGCAACCGAGCTGCGACAGTGAAAAATGAGCAAATGTCACAAGGATCATAGGGCTTGGCCCGTTCTACCATCTGCATTTCGATTGGAGTAAAGTTTAAAACTGGTTTTTTGTCAAAAGAAAGCAAAAAGGTTGGGAAAAAATATTGTAATTAAGTGCTTCGAATTTTACATATCCATTAATATGCTCTTCATGGATTGCAATCTGGAAAAATATACCATTTGAGTCGGTTTTTGAACCTTATTTTTAAAACATTCTTATTATAATGATGTATATATATATATATATATTGGTAGATATTAATACAATAAAGTTTTATTCTTCCGCTTAAAGTTAGTCGATTCCTGCGCACAAGAGATAAGACTTTACCCTGACTCTTCTTTAAAACAATACACCCTAGAGAATCACGAATGCGGGTCTTGAGAACCGAATACTTTTCGTGCTAATCCCTAGTCCAGCTCAGCCATTTGGGTGCGGCAATTAAGTCACCATCACCACCGTCGAGGAGAATCTTTTCAGGGGGGAGATTTGGCTGGTGAAGGGGCTCGCGTTTCCAGCGAAGATCATTATTGTCTCGTCGCGGATGCTGATGCTGAATGCTGAATGCTTGGAAAGCGAGACGACGACGACGACGACGACGGCCCCAAAAAATAAGGCAGCCACAACGCGGCGGGGCAAACAAGTTAATGAACCTGCGTCTGGGATCCTTGGGATCGGGATCGGTATCGGGACACCCGAGTGTGCGGAGGGGAGCCCGTCCAACTAGTTTGGCTCTGGTTATTCGGTTTTGGTCTCTTTTGAGGATCGGCCATGGTCGCGCCGCGCCGAAATCTGTGGCATGAATTCTCTGGAAATGGTCGAAATTTCATTTCATTGCGGTACGGCCAGCCGAAATTAAGTTCAACAGCATTCCACCGGTCAGCGACTGTCTGGGTTTTTGGGCAAAAACACTAGCTACTCCGTTGGCCGAGCTTAGAAAAGAGCAAGGTCCCTGCAAATGAATGGATGTGAGTTCCTGAGGCCGTATTTATTATTCATTTGGATCAATACATCTTGTTATTATTCGGAGAAAATTTTAGATCAGTAGTGAACCAAAAACTATGTTAGGACATTTCCTAAATTGACTTTTCGAATTTGAAAAATGGAAAGTTCTCTTTTTATTTAAACCAAAATAAAAAGAAAATTCTTCTTAAATAATTGAATAAAATATTTTAAAATAAATATTTTTTATATTATTAAATCTAACTTTAAGAAATTCATCTCACATGGAGTTTTTACTCGAGTAAGTTGTGCCAACAAGGTTAAGGTTAAAGTCCAAAAGTACAATTTTTGGTAGCTCAAATAAATCACATGATTATATTCATGATACATGGTAATATATTTATTAACATTTTCTATAGATTTAATAAAAACATATTTATTTTGTTGTAATGCAAGGCATATATTAATATTATGTGCCGTTGCAAGGGCTTAATTTCCGCCCAGCTCCTGTTTCGCGACCAAGTTCCCCCATTATCCTTGGGCCGGGAGTCATTGCCCTGCGGCTGGCTCACATTACACAATTGCATCGGCGATCCCGATCGGACGGTGCTCAAGTTACACAGAACTCCAGTGGCCTACTTCCACTCGAGTGACCCGCAATGTCCCCGAACAATACCCTTTGTGCCTATCCCATGACGGTTCCAGAAACAGGAGCAGAAGCAGGAGCAGGAGCAGGAGCAGAAGCTGCGTACAGCAACCCCATTATCCCATTATCCCGATCCTGCCCAGTCAGCCAAAGACAAAGAAACCCATTTTGTCGCATTCAAACAGAAATTAATGTAAAACAAAACCCAATCCAATTCCAATCCCATCCAAGAGCTCACAGAAAAAGCAGAGTGAGAGAGGGAGCGCGCGAAGCGAGGGAATATAATTTTATTTTTATAACTGACCTCGAACTTTTGTGCAATGTGATTGAACTGCCTGACGATATCTGTGGGCCCTGCTCTGTCCGGCCCCCGTCTCTGTCCCTTTCCCTGCACGGGACATGCACTGTAAATAAAAATTCTTTAGAGATATAAAATCCAATATTACATTCTTTAATATATTATCTTAAAATCCTTGAGTATTGTATAAATCTTTTGATTGTTAAGTTGTAAGATATATTTTAAACAGTTTTAGGATCTTGTTAATAATCTCCTACTGTAAAAGAAAAAAATCCTTAAGGGATACGTGTAGATGGTTATCTGTGCGTATACGTAATAATATTTTTTTTTCAAAAATATATTTCCTGTTTTGACCTCCAATATGCTTAATTCTATATTAAAATATTTATATGAATAATTTTCCTGGTACCCTATCTATTACATTAATCTTCAAGAAACCCCCACATTTTACAGTGTGCCCCGATCCGAGCTGCAGCATTTGCATGCAGACTGCATACAGAGCTGTTGATCGCCTCCAACTCCAACTCCGATTCCGATTTAGAGACCGATTCAGGGACCGAAACCGAAACCGAGCCTGGATGCAATCATCGGTTGACAAACAATATGGAAATTTTACAGAGTGCGCTGAAATAAAAGGGGAAGCGAAAGCGAATCTTAAATGGCGTAAAGGGGTGGACGAAGGGGGGGCGGTCGCAGGGGCGATAGTTGCAGTCGTCAGCGGGGAACGTTAAATGCATAATAAATGTGCGTTCTAGAGGTTGGGAAATAAAATGCGTGCAGCGACGTCGACGCCTTGCACTTTCAATGACCAAACACAACGATAAGAAAGGCAGAGATATAATACACAGCGCGAAATTGGGTATGTGATTAAATGTTATTTCCAATATTGATCTATTTTATTGCTTACAACAAGAATGCAATCATGATTTTGTTTTGAGTTACCTAAGAATCTTATTAGGATTTTAAAAATTCTTTAATATGTCCACCAAACATGGAAGTAGAAAGTTTAATATTAAGTTAATTTAAAAACCATCACATTTATTTGAGTTATGGAAGAGTATTAAAACCAAATTGATTTAAAAATAAAAAATTAAGAAATTGGTACATAATTTGGATCCTATCTTATCTAATCTACATATGAGAACGGGCAGAAAGAGGGTGCTAGCTAAGTGAGAATCGTATTGTTACTCCCCATCGAAAGGCGCTAGTTCGACAACAAACTTCTGATTGACTTTGTTTGCCAAAACAATTTGAGAGCGGCACAGATAATGCGAAAAAAAAGAGAGAAACCGAAATTCACACACACACAGTGGTTTATCAGAAATTGCTCTGTGGCTTTTGCTGCTGCTGTGCAAATATTTAATACATTCTTTTTTCGCTCGGCAAAAGCGCAAAAACAAAAGAATCCAAAAAAGAGAAGACTAAGAAGACAATAAATAGAAAGCAGAGGCGTTGGCAGCGAATACCAGTCAAGCTTTAATTCCCCAAACAACAACAATATGAGAGCAACAAAACAGCAGCAGCAGCGACGACCACAAAAAGTGTTTAGTTGACGTCATTTGTCCTTGAATTCGTATATTTGCCGCAAACCCAAAGCGAAATTCGCAAAATTCAATGCACTCGCCAACTAAACAAAAAAAGCAGCAGATAAGATGACGAAAAATAAAAAAACAAAACGAGAAGCGGAAAAGGGAAGCCGCTTAATATGAAATTTGCATTTAAAATTGCAAGTGAATGTAATCACAATTATAATGTTAAGGAAAGACCAAAAAGATAATCGTTAAATTGTACAATTTAAGAATATAAATGAAGTTGTTTTCTAAAGTCAAATCAATTTAAATTCAAATTAAGCCGCCAAAACCGCCAGTGCTGTAAAAGTTCAAAAACCTAGTGCTGTTAAGTTCTGGTTTAGTAAAGACACCACCCATCCAGGGCTGCGACCTTAGCGAAGACATCCACCACATTTAGTATTTTAAAAATACCGAAATTAGTAAGACCAGGTTTTCAAACATTTTAAAAGTTTAAATAACCGTTGCCTTTTTCCCATAGCCCGTCCACGTTCATACTGCGAAGCACAAACCAAATAAAAAAAATAAACACGCGCAGTTTTTAATAATTTTTTACTGAACAGTTTTTTGATGCGGAGTCGGTTTGTTGGGGCGAGCAAAAGAGGTGAACGCCAGGTGGGTTCTCAGAGCTGATAGCAATTGGATTTACTACTGCTACTCCGCATCCGCTGCTCCTCGTCTTCCTCTTCTGGTTTCTCCACTTCTCCGTTTCTTGGCCTGTTTTTTCATTTTCTTATTTTTTTTTGCATAAGTTTAGGGTCTACTGCAAACTGTGAACCAATTACGGAGCGCATGATTGCTGGGCCGACGAACGGAAAGCGGAAAGTCTGCCTTATCGACTCTCATTTATCACCTGCCCTTTGAACCCGTTCGAACCATAACCAGAAACTGAACCAGAACCCAAACCCAATTCCGGATTGCGATCCGTCCCTGAAATCTTCACGTCTGTTTGCTTATAGCTTTGATATGCTAATCTCCAGGGCCCACGCGTATCTGAAGTTGACAGTCGCTAGTCGCTGGTCGGTTATTCAGTAGTCAGTAGTCAGTATAGTCCGTAGCCAGTTTCGTAATTAACTTAACCCGTGTGCTTGTACGACTTCTTCCCGCAGAAAAGCGACGTAAATCGATAACACAACACCATCGCCGCCACCCACAACACCGCCCACACACCGTATAAACACCACACAACAAATCACGATGGGTCAGACTCTTTCGGAACCGGTGACCGCCAAGGAGTCCTCCTACTGCCAGAACGCTGCCTTCCGCGTGGGCTCCAGCTGCATGCAGGGCTGGCGCATCAACATGGAGGACTCACACACCCACATCCTGTCCCTGCCAGACGATCCGGGAGCGGCCTTCTTCGCCGTATACGATGGGCATGGAGGGGCCACGGTGGCCCAGTATGCCGGCAAGCACCTGCACAAGTTCGTTCTCAAACGACCGGAGTACAACGACAACATCGAACAGGCACTGCAGCAGGTGAGTCACGGGAGAATCACCTCCAGATGGCGTGAGATGCGACACCCAAAGATCTTTAATGAGAGTTAAAAAGCTTAATGTACCTAGACCCGCCTTACTTCGATTAGGTACAAGTAACACCCCCTGAATATCGGTATATATCAATAATCTTTCCTAACTTTGATATATCAAAATAGTTGTCGATGAAGCCAATAAGGACTGATATCTTCTTAGATATACCTAGGTGGGCTTCCCTTTATTAAGTTGCTGTACCGATTACTACAAAGAAATATTTCTTAACATTGTAAAACCATGCTTATTGATCTTTGATAAAAGGTATCTGTTTTATTTTATTTGAATCAACATCAACGTATTCAATTCCTGATAGCATTTACCTCCTTCCTTGTTCCCATATCAACTCTTTACTCATCTGCAATATGTACTTTTGCGTCACTTAGATTTATAGACAACCAACTAAAGATAAGTGATGGAGGGAAACAGCTTTATAATATAATATAATAATCTATCCACACCTGGGTACTTATTCTTACTTTTTTATCTTTCTTAGGCTTTATGAAATATCATATATCTATAATGTAGGTCCTACATATAAAGATATCAACCTAAAAAAAACAAAACAATTTTTTTGATAAGCAATCAATAAGTTGTACTTTTGTGTGCTTCGCGAAACCCATTTCACTTTCACCCATGCTAAAATAACAATTAAAAAAAATTGTAAGCCTTTCCTAGGATTATAAAGTTTTATAATGTTAAGAATTTCCTTTGAATTTGAAAACTATTTACATTTTTAGGGTACATCTCGCCTAGGTACATTTCAAGCCCAGCTATAAATCTGATTTCTCATCTCAGAATTACTCATTACTCACAACCTCTGATGCAATTGCAGGGCTTTCTGGACATAGACTACGAAATGCTACACAATGAGTCATGGGGCGACCAGATGGCCGGCTCCACGGCCGTTGTAGTCCTGGTGAAAGACAGCAAGCTGTACTGCGCGAATGCAGGGGATTCGCGGGCCATTGCCTGCGTGAACGGACAGCTGGAGATCCTGTCGCTCGACCACAAGCCCAACAACGAGGCGGAGACCAAGCGGATCATCGATGGCGGCGGCTGGGTGGAGTTCAATCGGGTCAACGGCAATCTGGCACTTTCCCGGGCACTCGGCGACTTTGTCTTCAAGCGGTCGAACAAAAAGCCGGAAGATCAAATCGTCACAGGTGAGAATCACCGCATCCATTGTTCTTATTGCCCATTATCACCTTGTTTTTTCTTGTTCTCCGTGCGTCTGTATAGCCTACCCGGACGTAGAGACGCGCAAGATCATGGAGGATTGGGAATTCATCGTGCTGGCCTGCGATGGCATTTGGGATGTTATGACCAATGCGGAAGTGCTCGAGTTCTGTCGCACGCGCATCGGCATGGGCATGTATCCGGAGGAAATCTGCGAGGAGCTGATGAACCACTGCCTGGCGCCCGACTGCCAAATGGGCGGTCTCGGCGGCGACAATATGACCGTGGTGTTGGTCTGCCTGCTCCACGAACGTCCCTACAGCGATCTGATAGCCCGCTGCCGGAACAGCAACCAGGTGGCCAATGACCATGATCTAACCGGCAAGGCGGCGAAGGATGAAGCCGCAGAGGCAGAAGCAGAAGCCGAAACCGATACGGAAACGGAAACACAGTCCAAGCCCTGCCAGAAGCAATCCAATTCCGGTCCCACGGACGACGAGAAGAAGCTGGAGAAAGAGTCACAGGATGCGCTGCTGGCAGCGGCCGAAATGCAGCTGAACTATATCTACTAGTGCGCCTTACGATTAATTAATTAGGGTTACTCCAATACCGCTTAGGTCAACTCTTTATACTTAACAACGCAAGTGTTCTTGGTTAAGTTTTATATAAACACAACACACACTCGTATACCACACACAGTCCTTACCAAAATGTTTGCTCCGATAAATAATACTTGTTTTAATTGTAACCACCACGATGCGTGTATATACATATATGTCTTGTCTAACTATATAATTATATGATTTACTATGTTTTGTGATGCCCAAGCAAAATGGATAAAAAGAATTGTATTACTCGATTAGTATTTATGTACCTAAATCTACTTGTCAAAGTTGTTTGGGATCGATCTTTAAGAAGGGAGCGAAGAGTTTCAAAATTATAAATAAAGAAAATGTTTTGTAGTGCCCAAGGAAGTTGGATTTTTTACTGGCGACCATTTAAAATATGAATTTGAAAGCAGAATATTTAGGAATTGAATGTGTAGCCATAAAATTTAAAATTATAAAACAAACGGGGGATTTTAAGAAGCATTTATTAGTCATTTCAGGAATTTCTGATATCAACTTGTTTGAAAACATTTACTTTGCTTTGGCTTTAAGCAGGATATTCGATAAGGTTGTTGTTTCTCTCTGGTGCTAGGCTTCTAAGAGATAATTCTAATTAATATTTAGATCAGTGGTCGGCACACACATACCATCACAAGTTTGCCTTGCATTAGTGTGAGTGTAACAAACACGAAGTTTGCGCGCGGCGTGCTGAAGCGAGACGTTTCTCTGCTTTGCACTGAGATCCTCTGCCGCAGCAACAAAAAAGCGAGCCGAAGTTGAGAAAGAAATGACCCGAAGACCCATGCCGAAGTCACACGAACATGTACGTTATACGTGAGCGAGCAGAGGATGGGCAGAACACTTCCCTATGCTCACTAGATAGGCCGCTGCCGACCACTGATTTAGATTAAATTTTTAGTATTACTTATCTGAAATTTTGAAAAATTCACTTAAAACTCGAAGGGGCGGACGGCTATAACGGAAAGGGACTATTTGGCATGTTTCGAGTACTGGAAAAAATCATTGGCATAAGTGTATATTATCGGGAGGGGATGAGTTTAAAGGGGATGGAATTGATTTAGAAGAATAAATAAAGATTCTCCATTTTACACAAAAAAATCGACCTTTATTTTTGCCCACAGTAGTACAGTAAAATAAAAACAAGTGTCAGAATGGGTTTTTAAGAGGGGCAGTGATCATGAAAAGTACCGCCCGCATTTTTGTTTTTAACTCGCAAGTATAAATTTTATTTAAACTTTTCGCTATTAAGTCGTTACGAGTACAGGTTTCCGCCTCCTCATCAACATCATCATCACCATCGTCTGGTTTTTACGTACAAATTGTTCAGGCTTAACTATCCTATTATAGAGACAAAATGAATTACGCTTTCAATTTTTTTTTTGTTGTTTCTCAGTGTTTGTATTTTTTTTTTCGTTTTGTTTTATTATAATATTTTTATTTATATGTATGCCATCATATTACACATTCAATTATGTATAACTGCTGTTGGTTTCGCTTTCGCTTGCTGCATAGAGGGATATTGTATTCTTTATAGTTAGTTTATAGTTTAAATCATATGCAATTTTATAAACTTCTTGTTACTTTACAGTTATCAATTTCGGTACAATTACAAATTGATTATATATATATTTATATATGTATGCATGTTCTTCTCGTTTTTTTTTAATATTACATATTTTCATTTTTGTTTTTTAACAGACAGGTTGTTGTTGTTGTGTTTTTGTTGTTGTTTTTAGTGATAACAATGTGCGTAAGCATTTTTTGTTTAGCGTTGTTTGTTGTTTATGGTAGTAGTAAAAATAAGGGAGTAAATTCAACCCAAGGCAAATGAAAGAAACAACTCAAGATCTCTGACCGTCGAGAAAAGTTTGGGAATTATATCGAACGCAAAAATATATGGGAAATGGCAGTGCCAAAGAGAATGATTGGGTGAAATCAAGAGGCGAATGCCCTCAACAATGTATAGCCTAGGGTATGTACAGTGGACTTGTGGAGGGGGCATTCCATAAAATTAAATAATACGAAATATTTGGATGGTGTGTAAACAAAAACTAAACGATATTCTAAGCGGTGTGTGTGTGTGATTCGGTGTGATTTTGAGTGTTTTTTTTTGGTGTGGTGTGGGGGACAGGAGGTATAATGGGACGAATGGTATGATGGGGTGGTGGCAATGTGGGGAATACATAGCTCTATGGGCGTGGCATGTCTGCTGAACTTGCAATAGTATTATTTTGTAAATATAACAAGGTGTCATATGCGCTGCTTAAGTATACAAAAATAAATAACTTAAGAACTGAGGTTTACAATGTAACAATTTAATTTAATTTATTGTATTCCTTAAAATTATTCAACATCAACAATGTTCCTTTACTTTCCCTATACCCTATACTCTCTATCTCTCGCCACGGTTCTCGTCTCTCGATCTCAGCGTCTGGATGGACAGCGTGGTCAAGTGTCCAAGTGTCGACTGTCTCATGGTCGAGTGGGCGTTGCAATCTCGATTGGCATTGGCGGCCAACCCCCGTTCCGTTTATTTGTTTTTGTTTTTTTTGTCGCACACAATTGATGATTTGTCAATTGCATAATATCACATCTCATTGTCCGGAATTTTGGAGCCGCCGCCCATCGATCGATCGATCCGTTAGCTCCACTCTGGCCACCTCCCGGTCTCCTGTCCCTCATCTCATCCATTGATTCACCTAAAGCACAGTCCGCAGTCCCAGTCGCAGTCCGCCCTATTGAGGTTCAACTGTACAGTGTGTGTTGTGTGTTGTTTAGTGTGTAGTTTATGGTGTGTGATTTTGTATTTCGCTTGTGTTGGCAGCCGACAGTGAGTGATGAGCACAACAAAATCATTTGAGAACTTTTCAAAGAAATGTGTGTGAGTGTTGGGGTTAGTCGGATTATAGTTTGGGTCTTTCTTCAATTTGGAGGGGGAAGATACAAACTATAAACTATGAATTATTTAAAGATACATTTTGTGTGGCGGTTACACGACGAAACACTGAGCAAGGTATACTATCTGTGTGGTGACCACCATCTCCATCGAACCAACTATCCGGATCCTGAATGAGCGATTGAATGGCTTGAAATAATGATTGATTGCTGTTTATGTCCTAGAGGCAGTTGTATGTTGTGTTGTGTTGTGTTGAGTGTGCTTGGATGCGATGCGTTTCGATGGGCGGATGGGGGTCACTTTGGTTCTTGGCTCAGTGGTCGGTCTGTACCCAGCTCGTATGTTACATATTAGTTAGTATAGGCACTTAGCATATTCGATTGTTTTCATAGAAACAAAATATATGTGTATATATTGGTTTTTTAGTTTTCTTTTCTTTTTTTCCTTATATTTTCAATTTCATTTTGGTTGGAAGTCTTGCGTTTAGAGTTCATTTTCATTTTTCTCCTTCGTTTTGTTTTGATTTTGGATGAAAGTATTAGTACTTTTTTCTTTTGGAAAAACATTGTTCGGTTTGTTCACAGTGGGTTCATAAGCATGTAATTAAAGAGAAGAAAAATAATACGCGGGTTTCCTTCGTTTGAGTTGTGGTTAAGTTATGAATGGAAAAATGAAAATGATTGGTTTCGTTTTGGTTTTTTTTTGAAGTGAAAGGGCGGAGCCGTTTTGTTCTCAAATAAAGGAAAAACCTAACAGAAGAAATAATGTTGTTAAGTTACGAGTGAATATCCATATATGCATACCTAAACTTAGTTCTTATGCCTAGAATAGTTTGTAGATATCGTGTGTACGCTCTTAAGACTACTGATTATTTTTCTTTTCTCCCTTGCCAATTGTTTTTATGCTTCAGGATCAATTTACATGCTTCTTAAATTTGAATAAATTAAGACTCCATAAATCAATTTGTGCGTAAAGTGTGAACAATTAAAAGGGAAAATCATATATAAAATGTATACGCAATCCTATGCAAAGGTACATCTAGGATGAGCATCAATATAATTTGGGGGGAGGCGAGGATGAAGCAGCATCTTTTCAAATTGAGAGACAGTAAAACATAGGTAAAGAATTCGTTTTAAATGCCTATTTTGTGTTGTCCTAAACCTCATTGAATTTCATGTGTGTCTGTGTGTGTTTTAGTTTATGGCACCTTTTTGTATAGAGTCCTAAGTCGTAAATATAACATTAGATAGTGTTTGTCTTATGAGCTGATCTGAGCTGTGTCCACCTACGCTTTGTAAGGATAAAGTTTAGTATTTAGCAATGCACTAACTTCTTAATTCATTTCATTTTCGTTCTTTGTTTGTTGAAATAGACGTGTGAAACCATCAAACTGAGAAAATTGCTTTCATGTGGAAACAAATGCAATTTTAAAATGTAAGTCCTTCCCACGATATACGATATAAGTATAAAAATGAGGGGTATACACGAGTCGGTGTCTGGGGGGAGGAAGTTAAGTTTGTCTAGGCGTATTCAGGTGTGTCTGTGTAAAGGATCCCTTAAGTCGTCGTGAACTAAGTACGAGAATCCCATAATCAAGTTGTATAAAAAATAACGACTTGCTCAAACAAGATCATCCGTTAAAATGTTACAATGATTCAAAACAATCGTATATATTATATATAATATATATCTAAATAATAGAAGTAACCCTAACCTGTGGGACTAGCGGAGACATAGCTATGTACGCTACGTACTCGTATCTGTGTACTTCTGTTTTGGCTATAAACATTATGTTTTGATGTGTAAGCAAAAATGAAAATGATGAAATATTAAACGTAGATAATGGTAACGTAAAATCAACGTGTGATTCATGAGTTCATCAGTTATTTATCAATAAAACCTAATATTTCATTCTCCCTTCCTCTGCTTGGCTTAGCTTGCTTTAGTTTTGTTTTGTCGTTCGATGCTAGTTGGCTAACTACGCTCAAACCTCTTAGACTTATTCACTCGGCATCGTTATTGATAATCGTAATGATAGCTTAGGCATATTCATCTCTTGTCTCTTCTCCTCTGTCTGCTCCTTCGTGCGGCTCTAAACTAAGTGTTTACCCATCGAGCGTAGGTAACATTAGCTTAGGTAGATTAACATTAACTGGTAACTGATTAAATATAGCTGGAGAAAAGGTATGCACCATTCATTCTTCGGCTTTGCCTACTAATATGATAACTGGTCCAAGCGTCGCCGGCTGCTCCTTCTGTCCTTACTCTGCTCTCGTTTCCGCGTCCCTCGAGCAGCGGCAACTACTGCAAGATGGAAGTTATAGGGTAAGCGACTCATTAAGTAAACACCACAACTCACCTTTCGTATGCCTCCTTAGTTAGCTTGTAAATATCTATAGCACTTATAGGTATAACAAAAAGGTTTGCTCATATTTACACATGGAATTTC